TTCTTTTCGAAGGTGGCTCAACACCCTCTCTCTCTTTCAATCTATCAATCAAGCATAAGTAATTCTTGAGTTATTAGGTCTTAAAGATCAGAACAAGAGATTTAATCTTTGACAAGTCTGATTTAGAAACCGTATTGCATACAGACGCTAATACACACACAAATATGCATTCTCATACAATCGAACGAATATGAAAGAAAATTAACCAAACCACTCTTTATCGATCTGTCTAGATTTGTAATTTTTAATCTATTGATTCAACTGAGTCCATATAATAAGTAAGATGAAGCCGGATAGTGTTCTTGCTTTAGTGTTAATGTGAATCTCTTACAAGAATGAAACCCAACTTGGATGATGTCCACCATTTGATGGACGAAAGCTCAGCACATTTTCACCCAAAACGAGGGAGCAAGACTCGTGGACTGCGTCTTCATCTGGTGAAATCGACCAACGAATCTCTTCTTCATCCAATTTCACACGAACTGAAAGTCCCCCTAACAATGTCATCTCAGCAGACTCATCGAAACCAAGTTTCTTTTCCCATCTACAATGTAGGTCAGCTTCAATTTGGTTGTAAAGATGACACTCCGCTCTGACGATGTTCGTCATACGACGGACCTTTTCACCGGAACCAGCGTCAACAGGAATGCTCCAAAAGAGCCGATCGACAGTCGGTCAAGCGGAATCTGCCGTCGTCTTGCCGTGACATCCACCTTGCCATCGCTTCACTCGACAATTATGAAAGCACTTTCTTTCGCTCCGACTTCACACAACATGTTTCCGGCCGAATCCGTCTCCAGGACAGAAGCACTCCAGCTGTCGCCTTGACGACTGCTACTGCCGTGCCAAGCCTACAGACGATGCCAACTTAAGATCTGGACATGTGCCGAATCCACACCCCCCGACGCCAGCTGTTGTCATGACTACTGCGGTCGAGAAGCTCGGACGATATGAAGTTGACTGCAATAGGAACGTGTTGCCAGGGCGAGAGAGAACCACGTTTGCGCCACGAAATGACACCTCGCCACTTGATGACAGCGCAACTGTTGTGTTGTGGAGACTGTGCTGTCGTGTGAAAGTGGGCCGGACGCAGCGTTGTGTCGGCTCATTGGGCCAGAAGACGACGACGCATTAGCGTCGTTCGGGCTGACGCAATCCACCGGCCAGTCTTGCTCGTCTCGTGTGTGGAACGGGACCGCGATTCCTTGCCCCCAACAACGGGCATCATCATTCTTGCAAGCGCTCCAAGTCTCGAAGACTATCCGCCTCCCATCAGACATGAAGCTGTGTATTTGTGTGTGTGTGTGTGTGTGTGTTAGTGTCTGTACGAGTGTAGATGAGAGGCCAACGTCTTGTTGACGTGAAGAGACTGCGCAACGAAATGAGATCTCGCTCGTACTACACACCTCGCCGGCTCGGTCCCCGTCACTTAATGACAGAAGCAACTGTATGCTTGTGTGAAAGTCGGTCGGGCGCAGCGTTGTGTCGGCTCATTGGGCCAGTAGACGACGACGACGCATTAGCGTCGTTCGGGCTGACGCAATCCACTGGCCAGTCTTGCTTCTGCGCCCCAACAACGGGCATCATCACGACTGGACGTCATTCTTACACGCGCCTCCCAGCAGACATGAAGCTGTGTATGTGTGTGTGTGTGTGTGTGTGTGTTAATGTCTGTACGAGATCAGGTGTGAGGCCAACGTGGTGTTGTTGACTTGAACAACTTGCGCGACGAATTGCGGCGGCGACGAGAGAGCACGTGTCGTCGGCGTCGCTTCCACCTCGTGTTCCGCGTGCCCGCCGAGCCACTCGACATTTCCACCATCGGACCGTCGACTCGCCACACCCCCACCCCCGCCATCACCCACTCGTCAAAGTGACAAGTCTCACGAAAGCAGGCGCTGGCGCGCAAACTGCTTACATCGCCACGACAACCAAATGATTGACCAATCCCAGCTGGTCTTCGCGACCCCACCAGCGGTCCCCTCCAGCTCAGCGATGCATGCGCCGGCGCACGAGCAGCCTGTAGCCGGTGGGCACACCAACAGACAACAACGCAAAAGTGGGCGCAACGGTGACAAGGGAAAGAAAGGAAGGTGGGCAACAAGTGAGCGCTTACATGCAAGGAGGTGGGAGGATGCGATCTCATCCATCGGGCCTGAGTGGTAAACGTGCGGACGGCAGAGAAGCGTGTAAATCCAAAAGTCCTGCCATCGAGTTCAACGGCTCGCTGCTCGAGGGTCAGTGTGCGTTAGTATTCCTTGTGGGCGGATGAGTGAGTCTCCGTGGTCAGGAGCACACGAGCTGGCTCACACAGGCCCGAAATATACGAGGCCGTGCTCACACTTTTTGCACAACTTGACAGCCCGTCTCGGCGAGCATGGGCACATTTTCCGCATGCCCTCGACTTCCAAGCTGAGTGTGCGTGTGCGTGTGTGAGCGAGAGGGAGAGAGAGATAGAGATAGAGGAGAGTCGAGGGAGAGATGTAGGCAGTGGCATCGACAATTCTGCCCACAGCCATCTGAAGCCGGAGCAGCTGAGACGGCCACGGCTTTGCCCCAAGTGGGGAAGATGAGCTTGCCAGACAAGCTGGCCAATCAGAGACGAGCAAGCCGGCGATCAATTAACGTTGACGCATACGGCGCGTTGATTGGCCCAGGCGTCGGGCGCACGAGCCAATGAGACGCGAGTCTGGCCCGATGACCAACTAGCACGCCGACTGGCTGACTGGAGGACAGGACTGGGCATCGGCTGATTGGCCAGCTGCCTGGGCAGTCGGTCGGAGGCGGCGTGTGTCAATTAATGCGCCACGCCACGCCACGCCACGCCTCGACGAGTGAGTCCCTGTCGGCCGCGCCGCCGGTCGGCGCTGGGACTCGCGAGCGTCGCGGCCGCAAGCAGGTCGGCCGGACGGATTGCGCCTCCTTCCGCCGCCGACTCGACCAATCCGCGACTGCCTCCGGTCCGACCAATCCGCGACCGCCTCCCGGACGGCCCAGTCTCACGGAGACTGGTGCGCCCTGACGCGGCGCCGCTTGTCGAAGGCGTGCGTCAGGCGGCTCGCGGTACCGCTTTCCGGCGGACGCCCGACTCGTCCTGCGGTCGGTCGGTCGGTTGCCGAGACGGTTCATCCAACTCGTTTGGGGTGAAGAAGCGGCTGAGGCGACGTGCGTCGCTAGGGCCTCGAGGCTCGCGGCGCGTGTTGCGGACGTGAATTCGGCGCAACGCGCAGCTGCATGGCGTGTCGATGACGTCTTCGCGTAGCCTTGACAACCTGTGTTTACAAAGGGGAAATAAAGGGCGCTTGAGTTGAAGCTGGTTCATGTGACATGGCGTGATTGGTCAGTTCATTTCACCGTCGCTGTGCCGTTGTTCGACACGATTGTCGTGCTGACGCAACGCTCGAGAGGCATCCTGCCTCAGGCCGCGGAAACTGGGCGCACCTGTCGACTGGGGCATTGCTGCAAGACACTCAAGTCAAGAAAACTTTCGCTTCTTTTGTAATTACTTTAAACGATCGTGGATATCGTCTACTCGGACGCACAAACTTTAGTACACACACACACACACACACACACACACACACGCATGCATGCATGCATGAATTCGCAATTAATGTGCAATCGAACTGACTGCATAATTCTAGATACATCTATCTATACATTTTCGTTATTACTCATGAGTATGCTTGCGGCATGTAGGATAGAGTAGGATCGTTTTATTCAATAAACGCAGTGAAATTGGGTTTCGATTAAAGTCTTCGGAAAGTTAAATACAATATTAGACATATTCACCCTATTTCGTGTGAGATGATGAAGGACTGGATGAGAACAACTTTTGGGAAAGCAGGGTACTGTGAAATTAAATGGGTGAATACATCTCATACTACTGATTTACTGGTAGTCTGGAAACCACACTTAAATGCGAAAAATAAACTA